ATATAGCAATGTGTGTGATTTTTACACGCATACATGCACGCGCACGCATGTATGTACGCACACAAACACACGCCTGCAGAACCCTTTCTGTGTTATGAGGCAAGGCCATCTAAATTGCTTCTCCAATGTAAGGTCCACTGAATTTCCCTTAACTAATAATACACCTTGCCTCACGACCTCCTCTCATCACTGGTCCCAGCAAGGCCTCCTTTCATTAACTAATGAATCAATAGGAGTACTGTAACAAACGCTTATGAAACAAATGCCCTGATGACACTCAGAACACTGACAATTAATTATATTTACCCATGTGGTTCTCCCCTGCCCTGTAACAAACGCTTATGAAACAAATGCCCTGATGACACTCAGAACACTGACAATTAATTATATTTACCCATGTGGCTCTCCCCTGCCCTGTCCCCCTGCCCCCCAGCCCCTCCTGAGGGACTGCTGGTGAATCATGTGGTCTTCACTCCCTTACGTTGATTTTTATAAATATAGCTTTTTAATAAATATAGCTTATAAATATATCTTTACTGAAGCTATATTTTCCCACAAATTATGATTTTTTGATTTAAGTTGTTTTAAGTTTGCACAAAGATATGCTGTATGTAATCTTTTGGGAGTTAACTTTTTCCTCACAATTCCATTGCTGAGCTCAGTGAGTAGCCCATTGAATTTCTGAGCAGGCGGCTGAAATGACTGCCAATCACCAGTGATGCTGACATCCCTCTCGGCTCACGCTGGTTTTAGGTCAGCGTGTGGCACAGAGAGATTGTGTTTGCTGGGTCCTGGGCAGGCAGGATCCATAGCTCTTGCTAATTTAGCATCTCCAAGCATTTATCTCTGTTTTATGGAACTTGGAAAGAATGATCAGGTCCTTCTTTTGATGGCATTGTTGTCACATCTCTGCATGTTTATTATAAAGGAGTCATTTTTGAGGACCCCAGCCACCATCCACATTCTAGCGGGAGAGCCGGGCTCCCTTACAGCGCCCTGTGAGATTCTCCAACTCACAGGAGCATGATCCAGAGAAAGCAGGATGACTGCCAGGGATCTGTGGCAAAGAATGGGATGTATGACGCAATGTAGTCTCTCCCCCGGATGGCTGGCAGGACATCCTTCGCCCTTCCCATATTTACCAGGTTGTTCCCTTTTACTTGACACCTTAAGGTTATCTTAAGGTTATTGTATCCCCAGGAGCTAGCTACGCATCTAGAAAAAGAATGCATTCCTGTGCTTCTCTTGCTTAACTGTTCCATTCCAAATGTGGTAAAAAAGTCCCATAGTCAGGAAAGTGTAGCGCGCACACACACACGCATTCACACACACTGAATATGTCTAGCCTAGATTTTACCCAGATTACTGCTTGTTGTAACTGTCTCCTAATCAGTCTCTCTGTTCCATACTCGCCCCTCTACAGTCTATTCTCAACACAAAAGCCAGAGGGATCCAGTCAAAACTAGGTCAGATCCTGTCTCTCCTCTGCTCAAAACTCAAGTCAGTAAAAGCCAGTCCTTCCAATGGCCACAGGCCTTCACAGTGGGGCCCTGATGCCTCATTCTCTCCCCAGTCCTCTGGCCTCTCTGGTTCACAGGCACTCAGGCTGGACGCTGTCTCAGCACCTTTGCGCTCACTGTTTCCTCTGCCTAGAGGGCTCTTCCTCTAAGTATGTGTGTGGCTCTCATCCTCTCTTCTTCAGGTCTTTGCTGAAATATTACTAAGTAATCATTGTGGTTTGAATGTTTGTGTCCCCCCGCCTCCAAATTCATATGTTGAAATCCTAAACCCCAGTGTGATGGGAACTTTGGAGGTGCTTAGGTCATGAGGGTGGAGCCCTCAAGGAAGGATTAGTGCACTTCTAAAAGAGACCCCCGAGAGCTCTGTCGCCCTTTCTGCCCTTTGAGGATGGCCATCTATGAACCCGGAAGTGGGCCCTCACCAGACACTGCACCTGCAGGCACCTTGATCTTGGACTTCCAGCCTCCAGAATTGTAAGAAATAAATTTCTGTTTACAAGCCACCTAGTCCATGGTATTCTGTTATAGCAGCCCGAAAGCAGTCTTAGGTGATCACCTTTTAAAAAATTGTGGTCTCTGCTCTCCATCGAAAGCCCTCCTATATATACTCCTCCTGTGCTTTTTTTTTCTTTTTAAATCTATGACATTGTAAACCCACCTGCTATGCTCTGTGTGTATTTTCCATGTGTTTCAGTTATTTGCTTCTTGTCTATCTCCTCATTCCCCACTCCTACCGACTTCTCTTCCTCCAAGAGCGCACATATTTTACAGTGCTAAATCCATGGCGTCTGTCCACCAGGCACGTGGCAAGGGCTCAATAAATATGTATCAATGAATAAATGAATGATGAAGGAAGGAATTTTTTACTCTTTGTCTTCATTTCACCCTGATCTTCCTCCAGGAGGGGAATCTCTCTTTCCTCTGACTTACTACATAACACTTACTATCTGTGATACACAATCTCTTACCGGAGCACAAATGTGTCTTGTGCTGTTTCCTATCATTACACATCCTTTAGTGTGTCTTCGTAGCGGGCACATGAGGTCCCCTTGACAGAGGATCATGTGGGCTTCTGCAGCTCTGCCTACTCTATACTCACTGGCTGTCACATAGCACTAAGTGCCCAAAAATGGCTTCTCCACGAACCATCGCACGCTAGAGGGGGAAGACACCTAGAAATCATAACACGGTCTGCCACGTTACAACGATTTCCTAGGGCGTCTGAATAGTGTGGTACCATTGCTTCACATGTATGGTCGCAAGATGATTTTAGAGGAACACACAACTTTCTGGTTACATATTTGTTTTAATGTGCATTAGAGAGTTAACAAGCACACCCAACCTATGATTTTGTGGATATTACTGATTGGAAACACTTACCTTTGAACATAAATTTAAGAACATGCATGTTAACTTAAAAAAAATAATACATAAGTAACTATAGGTATTATGGGTTGATGGGTGTCCCTGCAAATCCATATGTTGAAGTCCTAACTCCCAGCATCTCCGAATGTGACTGTATTTGGAGATAGCGCCATTAAAGAGGTAATTAAGTTAAAATGGTTTCATTAGGGTGGGCCCTAATCCAATATGATTAGTATCCTTGTAAGAAAAAGAGATGATGCAGATATATACAGAGGGAAAATCACTGGACACACAGGGAGAAGACAGCCATCTCCAAGCCAAGGAGAGAGGCCTCAGAAGATGCCAAACCTGCCAACATCTTGATCTTGTACTTCTAACCTCCAGAGTTGTGAGAACGCACATTTCTGTTGTTTAAGCTACCCTGTCTATGGTACTTTGTATGGCAGCCCTAGCAAACTAACACACTAGGTGCTGTGCAGATGGGGCTGAGACTGTGAAGATGGTACCTAAGTGACTGAGTTTGGGGGAGCTGGTACGGGGCAAAGACATGGGCTTGGCTGGAGGCCCAGCTTTGCCAATTCCTAACTGTGTGGCCTTCAGCACAATTTTAACCTTTCTGAATCTCTGTCTTGTTTTAAAGAATTGGACAATAGTAACCACTTTGCTTGGAAGTTTTGAGGTTAGAGATGTAATAATGTGTGTAAAATGCCCGATGCTCAATAACTGGCAGTCTCCTCGTGGGAAAGCAGGCACCAAGGCGGGGAGGTACTTGTCCTTGAAGTTCGGCGCCAAGTAAGCAGAGTCCTGGGCCTCCTTGCCCCACGGCAGTCCAGGCCAGCCAAGCTCAGCGGGCCTCGGGGAGCCCAGGAGCGGGCTGCGGTGCTGCAAGTCGACCTCTAGGGGCCACTTCACGTGGGTTTCCTCCTCCAGGAATAAGGAGGCAGGCCCCCTCCCCATTTCACATCTTGGGAAATGGGTACTCAGATTGGGGCAGTGACTTGTTCCAGGCCACCCAGATGGACAGGACCAGAGCCAGGACCACGGCTCGGCCCCTGGGCTGCACTGGGCTTAGACTTACTAGTTCTGCCTCCCGCTCCCAGAAGCGAGTTTGAGGACGCTCCTCCCCTTCCCTCCCACCTTCCCGGCCCAGCCGCCGGCTCCCAGGGAAGAGGAGGAGTTCTCGCCGGCTCTGATGACACCGTCGCCACGGCAACGCGGCCATACTGGCCCCAACGGACCCGGGGGCCTGGGGCTGCGCTGGCTGCGGCCTCGTGGGCAGAACCGGCAGCATGGACAGCCTCTTCGTGGAGGAGGTGGCCGCCTCCCTGGTCAGGGAGTTCCTCAGCAGAAAGGTACGTCGCGCCGCCCTCCACAGTTCTGGGCAGTTGCTCTAATTTGGCGTAGGGGGAGGCAGTCTGGGGGTTCCCCTGCAACCGCTGCACCTTCGAGGAGGGAGATCTTCCCCTGCCTGCTGCCTGGCCCAGTGATGCCCGACAAAAGCGCCACTTTCCCGGGCCTGGGGAAACTACATTTCCCAGGAGCCATTTCTGTCACCGCGCACTTCCCGCAAAGCAGGGCGGGATCGCGGACCGCCGCCAGCCTCTGGCATCTCGCCGCCCGGGCGGCGGGCGGCGGGCTGACGGCGGAGTGGGTGGGGGTTTACCCCTCCCGTTTTCTCTAAAGCGCAGCTGCGTTCTTGAGGCCCCAGCAGCCCAGCGGGCAGGCCTTTGCCCAGCCTGGCCGCCCGTCCACATAACCAATCCCGAGACTTACACCCCACTGGGAAAGAACTTCCCCCAATTGCCCCAAGAGGGAACCTAAAAGTCTTAAAGAAGTTCTTCACGGTTCAACCCCTTGGTCGTGTCCATCAACAGTGGGAAGTTCAGTTGTTTCTGGTTTTAAGTTCTCCTACCGTCTTGTCCCAGCAGAGTTTCCGAAGTAGTACGAGTTGTGACGTCCTCAGCTCTCCTCTGCCCTTACGGTGGAGACAGGACACGAGGACACGGTGGGAAATAAGTCAGTGGGGGTCAAGGGGAACGCGGGTGTGGGGGGAGCACCCATTACGCATTCTGCACACAGTGACTGAGGGCTGGCCACATGCTGTGTGTTGTGTTTGGTGTCATGTTGGATGGGGCGGTGGGCACTTGTCTGGGATTAAAACATACAAACAAACAATTGTTTGAATCGAGGAAAAGAGAAGGGCTTTGGAATCAGATGGAGGAGTTCAAATATCTGCTACTAGTTAGCAGTGTGAACTTATGTTACTCCTGCCTCGATTCCCCTCCCTGTACAACAGGAATAAGAAGACCTACCCTTTGCAGATTTATAATGAGGGTTAATAATAACATGTGGGCAGCTCCCAAGCATTGTATCTGCTGCATGGTTTCTCCCCCATCTCTGATGTGGACCTGTTTTGAAAGTGTCCTTCTTTGCTTTTTAAAAATGTGTTTTTATTTAAATTAAAAAAAATACATGTGGCTTCATTGTATCTGCTCTGTGTCTATGGCAAATTGACCTTTCATCACCAAGTCCTGGCTGCAGTTGCATGTCAGTGACACACCCATGAGGCTGACCACTGCCATCATTCTTTTAAGACTGGGCCACCAAGCAAACCCCTCGGAGAGTTTCCCTCATGCCTTTCCTTGCCTGAGTACAAACGAAATCTGAAGTCATCGCCTGATGTCCAAGGCTGCCCTCTAGCTTGAGCCCCGCTTACCCTCCCAATCTCATTTCCAGCTTCTCGCACATGCTTTTCCTTGTTCCACCGTGGTCCCCTCAAGTCCCACGTTCTTCAGGAGGTCTTCTCAGATGACTCCAGTTAGGATGACTGACCCATCCTGCCTGGGGTTTGCTCACTGATGCTCATGTTATAGTTGATACATTTGCCTGTTACCTACTAGACGGGTCCACAGAGCTGACACCTGACCTGGGTGGGACCCTGGCAGTCGTCTGGTTTGCCTGGCCTCCTTTCCCTCGTGATTTTTATCTGGGCACACAAAGGCCCAGAGGAGAAAGGAGTGGTCCATAGTCACTCAGAAAGTCATGGAGAGCTGGGACTGCAGCCCAGGTAAACTGCTTTTCTCATCGCCTTCTGCTGTGGGGCAGAGACCATGTCCTCCCCTCAGGACTTGGCACAAGGTAGGCACCCAGCAGCTATAACCAAGAGAGTTCCCATGATGGCACGAGGTACCTTCTAGGTCTCCCCAGATCCTCACGTCAGTCCTGAAAGGCAGGTATAATGATGCCTTCGCACGTAAGACTATCAATTATGAGATGAGGAGGAGAAGAAACTTGCCTAGGGTGAGCAGGTCAGATCATGTCACTCCTCAGCTCAAAACCCTCCATGGGCTTCCTATTCCAGTGGGAATAAATTCGAAGGGAAGGCCTTCCAGGGCCTGCAAGCTCTCTGTGACCTGGCTCCCGGCTCCCCCTTGGACCTCATCTTCCACTACTGCCTTCTCCACCCTTGACCCTGTCTCATACTCAGCTGCATTGGCCTCCGTGAACTCACCAAGTGTGATCTCCCCTCAGGGAGAGTCGTACAGTTTCTTGGTGGTGTCAGGGTCCACCAAGGGGCCTCTCCTGGTACCCCAGCATCCCAGGTCCGTGGGCCCTCTCCTACCTCCACCACCCTTTCCCGTAGTCCTGACCTAGGCTTATCATTACCAATACTGCACCCTTTCCATAATTTTAGGTCCAAGCATCCCACTGTCCTCATTTCCACCTCACCTCCCTTAGTAGCCCACATAAACTATTCTTCAACCTCACTCACATCTCCATTCCATCGTCCCTGTCACCTTTTCACAGTCCCTCAGCCCTATCCTGACCTCCCGCCACTTCTTACCTACCCGTCACTATAATCACACCCTCAACAACATGTTTGACTCCCTTGTCCTTCTCTCCCTTCATCATACTCCCCCAATGTTGAAAAGTCGGCTGGGCCCACTCCGTGCCTGCACCGCAGAGCTGAATGGAGCTGGAGAAAAACGCACCACCATGTTGACCGCCCTGAATTCATGGCCACTCACCCTGTGATGCCTCAGGGATGCCTGCCCACCTGGTGAGACCTCTCCAGCCCGTTAACTCCCTGATTGTGGATGACCATTTCACACCTTCTCTCTCCTCAAACCGCAAAGCTCCTTCCCCGTCTGATGTCACTGAGAACGTAGAAGCAGTCATGAGAAAACTCCCGCAGGCTCCCACCACCACACGTAACCTTCCTGGGCCCGAACCACTCACCTCGCCGTCCCTCCTGTCCTCATGGTGAATTCTCTAGGCTCCTGGGTAAGGCCACCCCTCCCTGGGTGCCTGTCCCCCTGCGTGCTCAGGGACACGGCTGCAGTTATCATCATCTCTCTCTAGTGCATTATCCATTTTGTCTTCTCTGCTGGATTTTTCCTGTCAACATATATACGGGCTCCTGTGAATCCCGTCTTGGCCCGCAAGCCCCTCCAGCTACTAGTCCATTTGCTTCTCCCTTTTATGGCAAAGGCTCATGAAAAAGTTATGCATGCTCTGATTCTAATTCTTCTCCATACTTTCTTAAACCCACTTTAATCAGGCTTTTGTCCCCACCAACCCCTGGAAAAGACTCTTTGTCACATTTGTCAATGACCTTTAATTTTCAGTCCTCATACTTCATGATCTAACAATTGTGTTTGGCACAGCTAATTACATCCTTCTTCCTGGAAACTCATTCTGCTTGGCTTCTGGAGGCCACCTCCTCTGGGCTTTCCTCCTATACCTCCCTAGTCACTCCTTCTCAGGTTCTTTTCTGGTCCCCCTCATTTCCCTGAGCTGTGCATGCTGGTGGGCTCAAAGACTCGGTCTATGGCCCTCTTCTCTCCTCTTTTCCATTCATTTTCCAGGCACCGCCCCCAGTCTTGTGGATTCTAGTCCCATCGATCTGCTGACAATTCCCAATTGTCTCTCCCCAGCCAAGACCTCTCCTTGAACTCTAACATCCTTTCCAACTGCCTGTTTTACATTTCCACTTGGATATCTAAAAACGTCTCAACTCAACACATCCTGAGTTCAATTCCTGATTTCCTCTACCTCCCACAGTTTTCCCCACTTCATTAAGTAGTATCACCATCCTTCTGGTTGCTTGGGCCAAAACCTCTGGAATCATTCCTGCCTCTTTTTCTTCTTGTGCACCTCACACCCAGTCCATCTGTAAATCTGTTGGCTTTACCGTCGGAACACATAGAGAATGTCGCCCCCTCTTTCCACTTCTGCTGCAAACACCCTAGTCCAAGCCACCGCCATCTTTCATGTGAATGGTTTGCTAGCCTCCTAACTGGTTTCTCTTTAATCCCCTGCCTTCAACAATCTGTTCCTGACCTAGCAGCTAGGTGATCCTGTCCAAATATAAGTCAGTCCAGGATGCTCCTCTTTTCAGATCCTCCAGTAGCGCCCCCATTTCACAAAAACCGACAAGGTCTTTCCTTAGCAGGCTCTGGGTAACGTCTCTGACTTCATCTCCTACCACTTTCCCCTGGTCACGTGGCTCTAGCTGCACTGGCCTCCTGTGACTGCCACAGGGCCTTTGCCCTTGCTGTTCCTAGCCTAGAACGCTCTTCCTCCAAGTGTCTGCATGGCCTGCTTCCTTACTTCCCTCACATCTCTGCTCTAATGTCAGCGAATCATGAAGCCTTTCCTGACCACCTTTTATAAAATAATCCCCCTTCCCTGCTCCCACCCCCCCACCTCTCTGTCTCCTGAGTCTGCTGTATTTTTTCCCCATAGTATATTCTTGTTGGCTTTCCCCTGATAGAATGTAAGCTCCCTGAGGGCCAGGACTTGGATCTGTTCACTCCTCTACCTCTAGCAGCTGAACTAGTAGATTAGCAGTTCGTTCCCTTTCACAGATGGGGGAAACCAGAAGATAGGAGTGAGCATGTGGATGATGCTCAATAAGTAGCTGACTGTCTAACATAGAGTCCTTCATCTTCATCTCTGCTCTCCCTGTTTCATCGGTCTCCAGTGGGGCATGTTAGAAGCCGCCCTACTGTACGTTCAACCCTTTGTCTATGGTTGACTTCCCCAACAGAATGTCAGTTCCATGACAGGGTAGCGGTGGTGGGGGGGGAGGGGCGGTGTTTGGTCTTATTCCTTCTGTATCTCCTGCATCTAGAACAGAGCCTGGCACACAGTAGGTGCATGATGGAGGTTTGTTGAGTGAATGAAGATTAAGTGGGCTGGATGGGACCAAGGACCGGCTGATTCTCGAGGGCGTCCTCATCCACTACCCCAGTGGTTTTCAGATGCCAGCGTGCACTACAGTCCTGGAGAGTTTCTTACATGTACCAAGACTTGCTGATCTGAACTGTTCACAAATGTAAGGAGTTATCCAGCAGAGAGGGACCCTCATTATAGAGGTTTCCACATCACTTTGATCGGGGAAGACATGGTTAAGCCCAGATGAATTGTAGGTACCTCTTGAGTCCCACCTCTCCTTCCAGGTGACTCTCCCTAATGCACCCAAGCACATCCCTACTTTTTCCCCAACGTATATATCCATTGCTTTCTGTTCCCCCATCTCTAAGACTTCCTTTTTATTCTCTTCAGTTCAAGGCTGTATTCATACGTCTTGTTTCACATTCCTCTTGCCTCAATTCATGGCAGGCAGCAGGTTTTGTCTTGTTTTCCAAGCAGTGAGAGCCCACACACAAAGGCGAGGGGAGAAGTTGAGGCCTGTCTAGCACTGGGGTCTGGATCCATCAAGAGCCAGGGGCTCCCTTAGCAGCAGCTGAGCTCTCTGTGCAGGCCACAGCAGCTGTGGTTGTTTTTCAAATGAAGAAGCCAGGCTCGTATCGGGACCAGCACTTCCCATTGCCAGAGTGTGTCTTAGCCGGGTCTTCTGGGAGTTCAGGGCTGAATGGTGGAAAGCGGTTTTACTGGGGGTTCAGCAGCCTTTACCAATTGCTTCTGGTGGGCCTGGGTCACGACATCATGGACTCACAGGCTGGGATGGTCAGAACCCCCCCCCCCATGTGATTCCACTGTGTTGTTATCTTGGGTAGATCAACCCTGGCTCCCCATCTGAGAAAAGAGGGGAATGAATATTGGCCTTTTGTTTTTGTTTATTTTTAAATCTTCATATTGTATAGCCCCAAATCTAAGGCCAAACCCAGGGCTCCTGGGTCAGCCTTGGGTTAGTCAGTCACCTGAATTTCATTTTCCTCATCTATACAATGGCCTGACCACTCCAGCCTTCCTTAGCTCAGCCCACGGGGTCGTTGTAAGATTCATGGTGATAGTCGTGAAGATGCTGTCAAGCCTAAAGGTTATATAAAAATAAGTCCTTGAGTCAGTGTTTGGTCTTTGCCTTATCCTTGTCAGGAGGGCAGGATAAGAATATGACCACGAAGAACGTCAACAGTCTTTGTTTATACTGTGTCGGACAAAGGAAGGTTTTGATTTAAAATGGTAAATAGTGATCCAGATTTCTTCCCTCAGGGCTTAAAGAAGACGTGTGTGATCATGGATCAGGAACGCCCGCGCTCTGATCTCAGCATAAACAGCAGAAACGACCTCCGCAAGGTTTTGCATCTTGAATTTCTCTACAAGGAGAACAAAGTAAGTGCTTTGAGGTGTGGCGTGAAGTTCTGGAACCGAGTTTGGCAAAGTCAGAGCACTCACGGGGCCTGCCAAGCCATCAGAGACAGGTGGCAGGAGGTCTGGAGAATCAGACCGGGCTGGGTGCTGACAGATCCCGCGCGTGTGTCGGGTTTCTGGGGCCGTCCCACCCACGTCTTGCGCGTGCGCGGCTCTGAGGCTCCTTTTGAACCCGAGCCTGTAGCGGTTACTCCCTGTGCTCCCTCCTCCTCCGTGAGGCTATTTTTAGTAAGACTGTACTTAAGGATATAGTCTTGAGTTATACTAAAACTTTCCATCCCCTGCCTGCGCAAGACTTTCCTTCTTCAGTTCTGAGTAATACCTTATTCTTAAGTCTACTGTGACATCTAATTCAGGCAGAAGCGGGGCTCGCGTTCAGCTAACCAGGGTGCATTGGAGCTGAGATAGCAAATGGAACGGCACCCCCTTGGTGGTGGGGGTGCTTCCCTGACCGCCCCCCCGTCCCCCTCCCCGCCCTTCATGGCATCCTTTGTCGTGCTCATCAGGCTGACAGTAGAATGTTTGTGTGGTTGTTTAATTCGCATCTTGGATGCTGCAAGGGCCAGAGATGGCCTCTTTTGTTCACTGTTGTATCCCCATACTTAACACATTGCCTGATGACAGTAAATAGTCAATATGTATTTGTGGAATATGTGAATGAGTGAAGCTGCCATTCTGACTTAATTGCTCTTTCTGTTGAAAAGACAGAATCTTCTAATTTGATGTAAGAATGGGCTCTCCCGCAGGTGTGTCTTGTGGTAGGATATAGTGTCAGAGTTGGAAAGAACCTAATGATCATGTATTTTGGCATTTATCACAAATGGCAGCCAGGGAAAGGCCTATCACAGGCTCAGTAAAGACTTCAAATAGATGACCTTCGTCCTCTGGGTCCTGGGGTGACACTGGGGCCCCTCCATCTCCTGTACGCTCTAGCTGAAGTCCTTCAGAAAGAGGACTGTTGACCCAGGCAGCAGATATTTCCAAAACCTCCATCTGCTGCATTTTAAGGCAGGAGAGTGGTGTGTACATTTTATTTATTTATTTTTTTGAGGAAGATTAGCCCTGAGCTAACATCCACTGCCAATCTTCCTCCCTTTTTTTTTTTTTTTGCTGAGGAAGAGTGGCCCTGAACGAACATCCATGCCCTTCTTCCTCTGCTTTATATGTGGGATGCCTGCAACAGCATGGCTTGATAAGTGGTGCATAGGTTCACACCTGAGAGCTGGCCAACCTGGGGCCATTGAAGTGGAGCACATGAACTTAACTACTCTGCCACCAGGCAGGCCCATGGTGTGTACATTTTAGAAAGATTTTTCTGTGGAGAGTGAGAGAGTTAACCAGGAAATTCAGTTAACCATTCTGGTTCTGTAGCATTTTTATGTAGATGCATCTTTACCCAATTTCCCATAAGTATCTTTGCCATTCAAGTTCTTTTTATTTCTTCACTATTTTTTCAAATTTCTTCCTAATGTCGTCTCCCTAAGGTAACTGTTATCTTAAGATACTTAAAATATTTTCCTTAGATCTTGATAAGTGCCCTGATGATTTGATTTACGCAGTTGTTATTAGATGTTATACAATGAATTAGAGCTTATATTTTACAGAAAAATATCCTTATTAATTTATCTGTTGCATAATGATTTTGACATTCACTCAGCCCAAAGCTAGCGTGATGCTAGGAAAGCCCTGCAATTTAACGTTAATTCCAGTAACTTGTTTTTCCCTATTAGGTATATGATAGATAAAAATGTCTATGTGAAATTGAGGTTTTGAAAAATGTATCTAGATTCAAATAAAGGCTGTTTCTATTATGAGCAAAGTGATGTGAAAAGCCACAAAGTATAATTCAGGTAATCCTGGGCCCTAAATCTCTTTATTAAAAGGAAAAACAAGAAGGTGGAAATAAATTATATAACATCTTCCCCCCAACTGTCTTCCTTGTAAATTTCACTTAGACTCAGACAAGACAGTTTTTTGGTCCCGTACTAGAAAAATAAGATAAATCTGTCCTCTGATTTTGACTAACATGTGACCATGTCAGTCCCCACTCCACTTGCCCGGGAACACCCAGGCCCTTTGGAACTGTGAGCAGATGCGGGCATTTGGTGAGTTTGTGGTCAGAGTGGAAAAGCACTTGACAGACGGCCTGGCACAGAGGGGACCCTCGGGCGCATCCAGTCCTTGTCCCTTTCTATTCCCCTGATCTACGCGGCAGAACTCTGGGACCAAGACCCACAGCCACGTGGCTTATGACCAAATTCAACAGATTTATCAGGCAGTCGTTATCTGAGTTTATCTAGGGTATACTTAATGGAGCCTGGGAATCTGTATTTTAAAAAATCACCAAAGGTAACATTTAGTGCAGTCAGGGTTGGGAAATACTGGTGTCATTTATTTCCAAAACCTACCACTGAAAAGTTTCATTTTATCTGTATTATTTTTTTTTTAAGGTTGGGGTATAAACTGAGTCAGTCCTGACTGCCTGTCTGTGTTCTCTGCAGTAACCTTCAGCTGCATTGTCTCTGTAATCTTTCATATCCGGTGTTAAATGCAGAGTGCACAAACTAAGAAAATGCTCAGGTCCCAAATATTTGTAAACTTGTAGAGTTAGTGATCCCTAACAGCATAATTGTTTTTTAAGGAAAGGATATGCATTTTATAAAGTTGTTCCTAGGAGAAAAAAAACAAGAAGAAATTTGTTTGGGTATCTCTCTATTCATATCACATTTTATTACAAATGTTCATGGAATCGCCTGACTCATGCATTGCATCCTAGGTCTTTTCAGATACAGATTTTATCTGCATCTCTGTGTTACTACCTAACACAGTACCTGACATAGAATAGGCAGTCAGTGAACGTTTGCTGAAAGACTGTATGAAGGAGTGAGAAGTCGATAAACTTTTGTGAAAGAATCGGAATAGCTGTCTTTTCCACTCTTCCCCTGAAGCTGTATGTACAATTAATGATTTTTTTTTCCCCAATGATAGGCAAAGGAAAATCCTCTAAAGACAAACCTTGAACTCATTACCAGATACTTTCTGGATCACTTTGGAAATACTGCCATCAATTTCACTCAAGAAACAGCAATACCTGCACTCTCGATTCCAAAGAAAAATAACAGATTGCCATTGAGATGCTCAGAGACCACGCTGGTGAATATATATGACCTTGCAGATGAAGATGCAGGATGGAGAACTTCGTTGTCAGAAACAAGCAAAGCCAGGTATCTCTTCCCATTTATACTGTGGATTAGATTCCTATTGCTGCTGTAACAAGGTACTATAAGCTCAGAGGCTGTAACAGTCAGAGTTCTCCAGAGAAACAGAACCAATAGGAAACAATAGGATATATGTGTATGTGTATATATGTATTAATATATATACATATATATGTATAAATGTTATATATATAAATAAAGAGATTATTTTTTTTAAGGAATTGGCTCACACAGTTGTGGGGGCTGGCAAGCCTGCAATATGTAGGGCAAGATTTCTGTGTTACCGTATTGAGGCAGAATTCCTTCTTCTCTGGGAAACCTCAGTTTTTGCTCTTAAGGCCTTCAACTGATTGAATGAGGCCCACCCATATTTTCTACGGTAATTTCCTTTACTTAAAGTCAATTGATTATAGATGTTAATCACATCTAAAAAAATACCTTCACGGCAGCATCTAGACTAGTGTTTGACCAAACATTGGGGCACCACAGCTTAGCTAAGTTGACATATAAAATATAACCATCACAGTGTCTTCTAGCAACACCAATTTATTATCTTACACTTCTAGAGGTCAGATGTCCAAAATTGGTCTCACTGGGCTAATGGTAAGGTGTCAGTAGGGCTGGTTCCTTCTAGAGGCTCTGAGAGGAGAATCTGTTTCCTTTCTTTTTTCGGCTTCTAGAGGTCACCTGCATCCCTTGGCTCGTGGCCGCTTCCTCCCTCTTCAGAGCTCGTCAGTACAACCTCTGCTTCTGTCATCACATCTCCTACCACTGACTCTGATCCTCCTGTCTCGCTCTAACAGGGACTCTTGTGACTCCATTGGGCCCACTCAGATAACCCAGAATAATGTCCTCATCTCAAGATCCTTAACTTAATCACGTCTGCAAAGTTTCTTTTGCTGTGTAAGGTGACATATTCACAGGTTCCAGGGGTTGGGACACAGACATCTTTGGGAGACCATTATTCAGCCTCCCACATTCTCTGCTTCCAAAATCCCTGTCATGGAGCACTGTTATTTTTCTCTAGAGGCATGGGAATGGACCCCTCTGTGGTGGAGGGTGCTTATGATTCAAAATGTTTAATTTAAATTCCATGATTTGTAAGGTTTAGGAGCTTGCTTTGTTTCCATTTTATTAAAAACAGGAGTATAGGGGCTGCCCCAGTGGCATAGTGGTTAAGTCTGCATGCTCTGCTTCAGCGGCCCAGGGCTCACTGGTTTGGATTCTGGGTGTGGACCTACACACCCTCATCAAGCCATGTTGTGGCAGCAGCCCACATAGAAGAACTAGAAGGACTTACAACTAGGATATACAACTGTGTACTGGGGCTATGGGGAGGAAAATAAAAGGAGGAGGATTAGCAACAGATGTTAGCTCAGGGCCAATCTTCCTCACCAAAAAAAAAAAAGAAAGAAAGAAAGAAAAAAAGAAAAAAGAAAATCCTTCTGGGGCTGGCCCTGTGGCTGAGTGGTTAAGTTCGCACACACCACTTTGGTGGCTCAGGGTTTCACTGCTTCAGAGCATGGGCATGGACCTAACACTGCTCATCAAGCCAAGCTGACGCATCGTCCCACATAGCACAACCAGAAGGACCTACAACTAGAATATACAACTATGTACTGGGGGGCTTTGGGGAGAAGACGAAGAAGAAGAAGGAGAAAAAAAAGAAGATTGGCAGCAGATGTTAGCTCAGGTGCCAATCTTTAAAAAAAAAACAAACCTTGCCTTACTGTTCCCACCATTATGTGACAATCTTTAAAAATACACAAAAAACATAAAAACCAGGAGTATAGCATTCTAAAAGGCAATGAAACACTATAGAGATGGAGAAATCTGAAAAATAAGGCCTTTTAGAACTCCCAGGAAGAGAATGACTTGGCATTCTTGATTGAACCTCTGTTATTTGGAAAACAGGTTAAATTACAACCTTAACACACTGCATGCAGTAGCTAATAGTGAGTCTAACTTCCTGGGAATGGATATTCTTCCAGCTCTGTTGAAAAGGATTTCCTTTTCTGAGGGTAAGCAAAGCTTAGGGTCTGGGTGTCAAGCTGCCAAAAGACGGGGAGCACTAAAAGAATTAATTCAAGGCTCAAAATGTGAAAGGCAAGGAGGTCCCTCCTTCAAAGGTGCTTACTGCCTGGCTGGGAGATTAAATATTTCTGAAATGATAAAAAACCAGCAATACAGTAGTTGAGGCTCCTCAGTCACACCCAATAGCCCAAGCTGCAAACTTGGGTGTTATCCTTGACTCCTCCTTGTCTATCATTTTTGCATCTGTGAGTCCTGAATGATGCTAGACTCTGCCATTCTCTCTGCCCTAATAGCACCAGCCTTAGTTCACGCCCTCACTTCCTTCCCTTGCTGACTCCCCCAGCTCTTCCCTGGGCTCCAGGCCTCTAGTGGTCTTCTCTTCAAATCCACCTTTGACCTAAGAGGGTGTGAGCTTTCCTCCAAAAAACTCTGGCCGTGCTGCTCCCCTGCTGAAAGGCCTTCAGAAACTCCCCATAGCTTCCAGAATAAAATCCTAACTCCTTAGGATAACTTGCAAAGCCCTTTCCACGATCAGCTGCCATGGCTCACCTGGGCGTGTCCTGCTTTCAAGGGCCTCCTTGCTGGTGCCTGGGCCTTTTCCTGGTCATCTCTTGCCTCCTCATTCTTCCAGACTCAGGTGCTGCCTTCTCTGGGAGTCCTTCTGGATTTCCCCAGGCTGGTTCCAGACCCTTCCTCTGCTTGACATGCCCAGCCATAGCACGCACGACCGCTTTCTCATGAGTGACCCAGTGCTTGGTAAGCAGCTTGGCACAGGGAAGGTGTCAGTGCCCCTTCATGCCAGAGTCCAGTGGTAGGAAGCATCCCAGGCTGTGTCAGAGGAGTGCTGGACCCTGAGTGCTCCCAGGGGAGATTCCTCTTGACCTGGGTCCTTGCTCTGTCTCTTCCTTGTTATTCTTTCTCACTCTTTGCCTCTCACCCTTTTTTTGTTCTCTCTTGCTCTCTTATTCTCTCTCTCTCGCGCACACACCCTCTTTCTATCTCTCCTACTCTTTTTCTCTCTTTTAGTGCCAAACAACCCAAGAAAAGAAGCCGTTGGCATGCCTGACCTACCTGAACCTTAACAGTGGGAGAGCGCCGAGCTTGCTTCAGGTCTCTCCCCACTGGCCTCCGTGGCGTGCAGTAAGACTGGCTCCACACATTTCAGGACTGTATCAAAGGGCTGCCGGTTCCCTTAATCACTGGGGTCTGGAAGAAACAAGGATGCTCTTTATACTGAGGATTTGAGGGATCCTATCATGGACCATCAACTCTGATTTTGTTTCTTGTTTCCTGGTCGCCATTTGTAGGCCAGACTTGCCCTGATGCAAAAGTATTTTCTATTCCTTCCCTTTAATGATTAAACGCTGGCTGGTGAGAAATCACCACAGATTTGTGAATGGGCTTGCTCTGAGGGCCTGTTGAGTGTGGAATTTATTATTGTCGCTAGCGATTCCTTGTGGGGAACCTGTTTTAATGGAAATAGCCTTTTTCGCAGACACGACGATCTTGATGGGGATATGCTTGGTAACTTCGTGTCATCCAAAAGGCCCCCACACAAGAGTAGGCCCATGCAGACTGTTCCAGGTGGAAGCCCTGCTGTGGGCCCTGCGTGGGAGAAGATGGAAAAGCTTCAGTCGTCGGAGCCTGCCTTGGATACGAAGAGGATGGGAGAGAAGGTCAGGCCGAAACCTGGCCTGATCGTCCGAGGCATGATGGCCGGGCCCATCGCCAGCTCCCCGCAGGTGGGGTTGTTGCTCTCACCGTTGTTATGAGAGTGGACAGTGAGCACCGGGCAGGGCTGGAGGGCTGCCTGGGTTTATTTGGGGGTACCCTTCGAGACAGCCAAAGAAGGAAGGGGATCTGTGTGGTGGGATGGGAAGAACTCCTGCCTCTTTTTCTCCCTAGTTCTACCATCAACCCCTGTGGGACCGTGGGCACACCTCCTCTCCTTCCCTGCCCTCAGTTTACCCATTTTGTCAATGAGGTGGTTGTCATGGTTTTAGATTCCTTTGCCTACTGAGAACATATCTACCCAGCTTTATCTTTGCAATTCAGGAGTGGGGTGGGGAGCCCCGTCCGAGTCTAGAGAGCATCTTTTTCATTTTTAAAAACATGATAGTTAAAAGGGAAAAAGGAATCCCAATCCTTATAGCTAGATTTGTTTTGCTTTAAAAAAAATTCTAAAAGTTTAACATGATTGTTTTATAGTGTGGCTTAAGGAAGGGCTGTAGTGGGGTCTCACTAGGTGGAGGGAAGAAACCCAATGAGAGAATGAGTATAAAAGGAGCTTGTAAAGCAACAAAAGAAAATCAAACTTAGAACTCAAAGTGTAGTATCAGTCAGATCGGGAAGCTTGAGCAAACCAAACATTGGTCGTCTGTGTCCCTGGCTGGTCACCTCTGCTCTCACATGCTGCGTGTTTAGCTGTGGGCTGTAGCTGTAGATGCCAGCAATGGTTCTTCCAACTCATTTGCAATTAGGCCAGAAAGAAGTGGACCCCTCCCTGCCTCTGCCTGCATCTTGTGAAATTTTCGGACAAGGTCTTTATTCTTCTTGGCTGTGGTCTCGTTTGTTAGACCAGGTATCCAAGGCTCCTTCGAGCTCTGGGATTTCATGGTTTGGAGATGGTCATGTGGTCTTGGTGTCCAGATCAAAGGAGACCAGAGTCTGCTCCCCTCTGTGTGGTTCAGACCACACGTCGACATCATGTCCCATCTGGGCATCTTGTACTTGAAGCAGAACATTCGTAAACTGGACTATGCCTAGAGGAAAGGAACTAGGAAGGTGAAAAGTTTGGAGGAAAGGGAAAGATTTGAGAATGTTTGATCTTGGGAAGAGAAGGCTTGTGGGAGGTGGGGCAGAATGTAAGAGATTTTATGAAAGATGGAGGTAGGAATAGTCTACTCCCAGGGTGGCAAATAGGTGGCTGCGACTTCCTGCCACTCCACGCCATGCCTGTGGCAGACATTGCTAGTTGATCTTGGTACTCTTTTTCCTGTCAAGCCTGGACGTGACTTCAGACACCTTGGGCATCTTGGGCAGTTACTGCCAATGGATGGATTGGAGTGGTGAGCGAGATGAACCCTATTGGCTGTTTTGAACTTAGGCTGTAAGCTCAAGAGCAGAGACTCTGCCATGTTTCTGTGTAGAGCATGGTGTATGCCTGCTGGCGGTTTGTTGGATTGAGTGGTGTAGACTTGCCTGGTAGCTCCAGAGAGCACCAGTGGGACCAGTGGGTGGAGGCTGGTGTGAGGAGCTGTGTGTCAGAGCCACCTCAGCAGTAGAACAGGCCATTTTGGAAGGGACTAGACTAGTTGTGTTGGGGGAAGCCAGGTACCCCATCTGCTGGGGACATTGTAGATGGGGTTCCTATTTGGTTGAGAGTTTAGACCACATCAGTGGTTCTCAAGCTGTAGTCTCAGGATCTCTTTATACTCTTAAAATTATTGAGGAGCCCAAAGAACTTTGGCTTGTGTGGGTTTTGTCTACTGAGATTTACCATATTAGAAATTAAAACTGAGAAATTAAATAATATTTACTTACTAAATCGTTAACAATAGTAAACCCATTACATTTAATACAAATAATATGTTTTTAAACAAAAAACCCCATTTTTTCTAAATCAACAAAAATATTGAGATAAGTAGCATTGTTTTATATTTTTATAGATCTCTTTAATGTCTGGCATAGTAGAAGATATTTCAAGTCTCATATTTGTTTCTGGATTCAGTCTGTTGTGTTCGGGTAGTTTGGTTGAAGTAGATGAAGAAAATTTGGCCTCACACAGACATGCAGTTGGAAAAGGGAAAAGTATTTTAATAGTTTTTTCAGAAAACTAGGGATATTCTTTAATTCTACACCCAAACTAGACAACTTGTAGTTTCTTAATGTGGAATCTGAAACCCTACCAACGAAGTTTTCGTATTCTATTGATTTCTGTCGGTCTGTCTTGTGCTTTGAATGACTTTTTTCCCACTACGTGGTATAGTAACATGATGTTTGGTCATTTGGAAAATATTGGTTCACTGAGTTATGCAGATCTTCCAAATGTTGAGACATTTCATTATACAACAAGAAAACATTAAAAAACATCACATTTGTTGATATCACCACCCAGCTCACCAGAAAAGTTGTTAAGTATTGAAAGGCCCCCGTGCTCACTGTGGCAGATACTACAAGTTTCCCCAAATTCTAATTTTTACCTGACAACTTATATTTTATCACTGATGACAATACATCACTTGTTTCCCTTGAAGAGACAGGCCCAATTTATTTTCAAGAAAATGCCTGCCCAGTACCCGAGTCTGAATAACCATAGTTCATTTGAGAGTTGTTCCATCAAAAACATAGCAAGGTCAGCTCACAATTCAGGTGGTTGCTCAAGGGCTTTTCCTTGAGACAGCAGCCATCCTCCGCATCCAGCAGAGGGCTTATATATGCCTCCAGTTTTGTCGCACAGAATATTAAAGAGATGTGTACCACATGGGTGAGACTGCAGGAAATTAATAATTTTTATGCTTCAGCATGGACGTTCTTAAGTGAAATTAGCATGTCGCTATTTATTTTGATTGCAAGTGCTGGTAAATACTTGAGTACTAGTAAAGCTTGGTGCCACTGCCTTGATTTGTGCTGAAGGCCTGCAGCTTTTCCCACCACTGCTTTTGCACAATCACCGCGAATGTCAACACAGTAAAAAAGGCAAATCATGTCATATTATTACTATGAAAATAGCTTTGAGCTCCCTAAAAGGGGGTGGGGACCCCTGAGGTTGGCAGACCACACTTTGAGAACAAGTCAACCAGTGGAACACCAGGGTCCTGCCCTACCGTGACGTTCTGATTGTCAAGTCCGTGCGGTTGAGACCCCTTCACAACTGAAGTATGAGGCAGAGGACTGGGATCTGCTTTCCCACCAAGAGGTTGCGGCAACGTCTCCTTTTAGTGATTGTCTTGGGAGGTGCGCTTTTCCCCTGGGGTATCTGATCCCATGAAGGACATGAAAGGATGGGTTGCTGTAGAATTTCCCCAGGTTTTCTGGAAGATGTTTTATGGGCCTTTGAGTACCTTGGCCATACTTATCGGATTCTCAAGAGAAAAGAGCAAGGTTTGCAAGGTATTTCATCATCTAGTAGTGTTCCACTTATGCACTTATGAAGGATGAGTAAGAGACTGGGTTCCCTGCCCTTGGCCGGAAGTTTGGGTCCCCTTGGGCTGGTGACTCATGTTTTCCTTGCTTTGTGGTGGGGGATGCCCTGGGTGACTTTTGGAGGCGGTTTATAGTGCCTAGTAATTTCCACTGGGCAAGAACACTATGGAATTAGCTGTTCCTATTCCAGCACGGGCTTTACCATTTGGTTTGAGATTATTTCTAGAAATGCTGAGAAAAGCCCAGCAGGTCTATTTTTGACCCTTCCACCTCCACTCCCCCCCCCCCCCCCACCCCCCCCCCCCATTGGTAAGAATGTGAGTTCCCATTTCATCAGTTCATCATTGATAGTGAGCGAGGACATTTCAGTCGACTCCTTTGGAATTCCTTCATTTCAAAAACTAAGCAAATCTTGAGTGCTTACTAGGTGTAGGTCACTGAGCTGGGAGCTCTGTCGTGACAGAGATGATCAAAGGATGGCCTCTGCCATTCCTGGTCTGCCAGCAGGAGGGGTTAAGCCCATACGTAAGAGGCGACAGGGGAAAAGATGCATAGCAGTGGCTAATATTGTTGACTGCTGTGGTGGGTCTGGCTCTGTGCTAGAGCCTTACAGGGGTCTCTCCTTGAATCCTCATCACAGTCTTGTGGGAGACAGGACTACAGGTCCCCAGTCTCTCATCCAAAACCTTTGGACCAGGTGTGTTTTGGAATTTAGAATTTCTTTTTTTTTTTTTTTTTTCAGAAAAGAAATACAGTGCATAAACCACAAACCACATAACACCTGTCGTAGTGTTTGGGGTAGCACCTCATAAGCAAAAACGTTAACATTTCTGCAACTAAATATATGAATATTCACACTTACAGAAAGACTGTAAGCAACCTCATAACAGTTAAAAAGAATTTGTTGCGGGATTCCAAAAGAAACTTTTGCTTTTGGAGGTTTGGGGATTTAGAAATGACAGTGGATCGTGGAGAGGTATATCACAGGTGAGGGAAGTGGAGGGTGGGGAACTCACAGGGGACACAGCTGGGAGGTGGTGATGTGGGAGTTAGCACCCCGGTCTGACCCAGGGCCTACAGCTTCACCTGCTCCTGGAGCCTGCTCTGTGTAGGGACTGAGGCATGCTCTTGGGTTCTGTGGCTGGGGCGCCATGGCAGTGTTACAGAGGTGGTAGCCGTTGAGCATCTCCACAAAGAATAGGTAGGATTTTAAAGAGAAAGAGTTGGGGATGGGGAAAGACTTCCCTGGGGGAGGGAACAGCATGGGCAAATGCTTGATGTGGGATCCAGTATTTCCCCACCCCCCTTGAAGCTGTTCCTCACTGCTTTTGTCCTTGCCCCTTTCAGGATCCCCTCCGCAAACGCTCCCTGAGGCGGTCCCCCGCCTTGAGCAGCATCACCCACCCCCACGAGGAAGAGAGCCCCAAAGCGCCCGAGTTCTCCCACCGCACCCCAGCCTGTCCTGCCCCACAGGAGGGCCTGGCGTCCAGCCCCGGCTCCAACTCCAGGAGCCCCCAGGGCCCGCTCAGTGAGCTGATCCCAGAGAAGCGGAGAACGGCGCCCAGCAGCCCTCCTCACCTGCCGAGCAAAGGGCTGCCCCAGAGGGGGAGCGGCAGGGGCAGAGACCCTCCAGAGGACAGCCCCGCTGTGGACTCAGAGGCCGACAGGATGCCCTTGAAGTTCTCCTTGCCCGGCGGGAATGCCAGGACAACCCAGGAGAGGCTGGAAAGAGCATTCAAACGGCAGGGGAGCCAGCCCCCGCCCCTCAGGTGAGCATGCTGTGCCCAGGTGACGGCTTTTCCCAGAGAACCGTTCAGTTCCTAGCCGCTCCTTGGCTCTCAGAGCAAGCCTGTGAAGTAGGGAAGGTGATCGTGGTCACTGTCGGGGGGAAATCAGCCTGGAGCTCACACACCCGGGAAGCTTCTGGGGAGGTCTCCTGAGTCTCTCTTAATTCTTACAAAGTCAACAAGGTGTTGGCAGGTGGTCCCCGTCTGAGCCTGCAGCAGCATGGTCAGGCTGATGCGATGTGAGAGACGTTTCCTGTGGGAGGCTGGGGATACGGGGGTGAATCAGCTCCCACAAGGCTCCTTTGGGGCCATTTTTTTTTTTTACCCTATCCTTATTCTTTCTCCTTGATGATTCCTACACTGATTTTTGAATGTTAAACCCACTGTACATTCTTGGAATAAACCCCACTTGGCTATGATATATTATCTTTTTATATGTTGTTGGATTCAATTTATTAATATTCTGTGTAGGGTTTTTGTCTATAAGTTCATGAAGGAGGTTGGCTGGCAGATTTCCCTTCTTGCAACAGCCTCGCCAGATTCTGGTATCTAAGGTATGCTAGAACTGGTCCCTCTTTTTTCTATTCTCTTCTTAACTGCTATTCTGGGGTTATTTTCAAAATTTCTTACATATGATTCTTACTATTGATTGCTACCATTAATTGAGTGTTTACTTAGTGCCTGACACTATGCCAGGCACTTTTCATGGATTATTCTGTTTCATACTTGAAAAAACCTGAAAGGAGGTATTATTATTCCTCAATTTACAGATGAAGAAATACAGGCTAATAGGGGCTATGCTCCCAAGGTCACATACCTGGTAATCGAAGGAGCTGGGATATGAACCCAGGCCTTTCTGAGTCCAAAGCCCACCGTGCCTGTAAGCGCCATCTTGTACTAGTTCGGTTATTGTGTGTGTTTGTATGTGTGTGTGTTGTGTATATTTTAAGCACTAGTAATATGTACATTCGAATTTCTACAGGGGTGGGTATTAGTAGAAATATTGGGCATCCTGGTTTGTAATACTGGCATTTTTAGTCATTTTCTGTGCACCTAATATGTGCCAGGCCCTTAGCCACTGATGGTGCAAAACAGCTATAATCCATTAATTCCCTTTGTGATCATCAATAAGCTGGGCTTACTTTGCTTAATACACTTTGTGGCTATTTGCTGCATATACATATAGAATTCTTATAGCTTCCTGTTGGGCAGACTTTTCTATCATGAAATCTCTATCTCTAGTAGCGCTTGCTGCCTTGGTGTCTATTTAGGTATGGCTACCCCAGTCTTCCTTTGATTAATGTCTTCATGGTATATGTTTTTCCATCCTTTTACTTTCCTCCCTTCTGTAGCCTTACACTTAGGGGTGCCAACCAAAAGCCTGTGGGGTTTACCAGGATCCTTCCCTCTATTTTTTATTATTATAATTTATTTAAGTGAAAAAAACAAAAACAGTTCACCTATTTCTCCCACCCCTATCCCCCTTAGCCTTCTGTTTTTGTAATTTTTTGTGTGTGTGTGAGGAAGATTGGCCCTGAGCTAACATCTGTGGTCAATCCTCTTCTTGTTGCTTGAGGAAGATTGTTGCTGAGCTAACATCTGTGCCAGTCTTCCTCTCCTTTATATATGGGACACAGCCACAGCGTGGCTTGACAAGAGGTGTGTAGCTTTGCACCTGGAATCCAAACCTGCAAACCCTGGGCCACTGAAGCAGAGTGTGTGAACCCAACCATTATGCCATGGGGTTTGCCCCTGCAATATTTTTTAAGGCTACAAATGTCCCTCTAAGCAATGCTTTGTCTGTATCCCACAAGTTAACATGTTATATATAATTTAGTTTAAATATTTTCTGATTTCCTCTGTGATTTCTTCTTTTGACCCATGGGTTGTTTAGACATGTATGGACTAATTCAAAACATTTAGGCTATTTTTCTGGTTATCTTTTTGTTTTTGATTTCTAGCTTATTTCTACTTTGGTGATATATACCCTGTATGATTTCAATCCTTTGATATTTTTTAAGATTTCTTTATGGTCCAGTATATATTTAAGCTTATCTCTTATAAGCAGCATATATTTGGAATTTTTAATCTAGTCTGATAGTTTTTTAGTTTGGTTGGAATGATTATGGTACTTATATTTTCCTTTAGCTTGAAGAACTCCTTTTAGTGTTTCTTTAGCAGGTGTGCCACAATAACTTTGTTTTCAGCTTTTGTTTGGAAATGTCTGTATTTTCCTTTATATTTGAAAGATGTTTTCAATAGGTATAGAATTCTAGATTGGTGGGGTTTTTCCCCCAACACTTTAATTACGTCATTCCATTGCCTTAGGTTTTCGTCATCTCTGTTGATAAATCAGTTGATGTTTTTATTGTTACTCTTTTGAATGTGATGTGTCTTTTTTTAACCTCTGGCTGTTTTTTTTTTCTTCTTGGCTTCTTTTAAGATTTTCTCTTTGATTTTCAACAGTGTTCCTATGATGTGTCTAGGGCTGGTCTTCTTTGGTGATTCTACTTGTGATATGTAGAGTTTCTTGAAGTTTTGGGTTGACACCTTTCATCAGTTTTGAAAACTATTGCCTATTATCTTTTCAAATATTGCTTTTGTCCCATCCTCTCTTTTCTCTCCTGGCACTCCAGTTATTCATATACTAGATATTTTCATTGTGTTCTATAGGGTTTTTAAAAAATATTCTTTCTTAGATTTACCATCTTTTTTTCTCTCTGTACTTCAATCTAGATAGTTTCTCTTTTTTCTTTTGCTTTTTTGGTGAGGAAGATTGGCCCTGAGCTAACATCTGTTGCCAATCTCTCTTTTTTTTCCCTCTCCCCAAAGCACCAGTACATAGTTGTATATCCTAGTTGTAAGTCATTCTAGTTCTATGTGGGATGCTGCTATAACATGGCTTGATGAGTGGTGTGTAGATCTGCACCCAGGATCCAAACTGGTGAATCCTGGGCTGCTGAAGTGGAGTGCACAAACTTAACTACTCGGCCACAGGGCTGGCCCCTAGATATTTTCTCTTGATCTATCTTCCAGTTCATGTTACTTCTCTTCTGCCATGCTATTAAATAAATATAATAAATTCTTAATTTTAGTTATTTTAGTTTTTAGTTTTAGTATTTCTATTTCTTTTTAAAAAATAGATTTCAGTCTTTTTTTGAAATTTTCCATCTCTTCCTTTATTTTCTTGAGCATATTATTCATAGTCATTTTAAAGTCCCTGTCTAGTAACTTCCATATCTGGATCATCTATGGGTCTATTGCTATTATCTGTTTTTCTTTCGGGTTTTGGTCATTTTGTTCTATTCCTTTGCATTTCTGATCATTTTGATTGAATTCCAGATGTTGTTTATGAATAATTGTATAGGCTACCTTCTTCCAAAAGAGAACTTAATTTTCCTTTGGTAGATATTAATCTCTTGTTAGTTACCTTCTTCCAAAGAGAGTTTAATTTTATTTTGGAAGATATTAATCTCTTGTTAGTTTTAGACTTTGTAAATATCTTCTATCATTCTGTTATTTGTCTAACTTTGTCCATTATCTCCTTTGTTGAATGGAAATCCTTCGTTTTGGTGTAATCAATCTCTTGTTTGGCATATAATTTGCATTTATATTTTTTTAATTTCAATTTTTTAAAATTGAGATTCATAATAGTTTACATCATTGTGAAATTTCAGTTGTACATTATTTCTTGCCTGTCACCACATGAGTACTCCTCTTCACCCCCTGTGCGCCCCCCCACTCCCTTCCCCTGGTAACCACTGAACTGTTTTCTTTGTCCATGTGTTTGTTTATATTCCACATATGAGTGAAATCATGTGGTGTTTGTCTTTCTCAGTCTGGCTTATTTCGCTTAGCATAATACCCTTCAGGTCCTTCCATGTTATTGCAAATGGGATGATTTTGTCTTTTTTATGGCTGAGTAGTATTCCATTGTATATATATACCACATCATCTTTATCCAATCATCAGTTGATGGGCACTGGGGTTGTTTCTGTGTCTTGGCTATTGTGAATAGTGCTGCAATGAACATAGAGGTACTTTGGATTGTTGATTTCAAGTGGTTTGGGTAGATACCCAGTAGTGGGATAGCTGGGTCGTATGGTATTTCTGTTTTTAGTTTTTTGAGGATACTCCATACTGTTTTCCAAAGTGGCTGCACCAGTTTGCATTCCCACCAGCAGTGTATGAGGGTTCCCTTCTCTCCACACCCTCTCCAACACTTGTGGTTTTTGGTCTTGGTAATTACAGCCTTTCTGACTGGTGTAAGGTGATAGCTCACTGTAGTTTTGATTTGCATTTCCCTAATGATTAGTGATGTTTGATTTGCATTTTTGAAGCTTTCTTTATTAAGTTCTTTCTTGCTTGTAGGTTTCAATGATATTCTTCTATATTTTTTCCATTAACTTTGTAGTTTTAGCTTTTACCTTTATGGATTTGCGCTTTTGTATTTGTTAGGATGAAAAGATCCACTTTTATTTTTCCCTTTATAGGAAGAGAGTTTTCCCAGTACCCTGTACTCTACAGTCAGTTCTTTACCCCCACTGATTTATGAAGCCACCTTTATGCTGTACTATGTTCCCAGGTAGACATGGGTCTGTCTTTGAGCTCTCTATTGTGTTTCATTGGTCTTTTGTCTTTTCTTGGCTAAAGCCACATGGCCATAGCTTTTATTACTATGGCTTTGTAGTTGTAGCTTATTATCTTGTTAGGGCCAGTCCCCCTTCTCCTTTCATGTAGGACTGGCGTAGCTGTGTACAGATCTTTATTCGTTCTACAGCCCTTTTTTTTCTGTTCACCCAGCGTGTCTAGCTTATTCCTACATGAGGGAGAACCGCCTTGTCCCCTTGCCCTAAGGGCCCTGCTCCCAAATCGTCTTGTGACTGTCAGTCAGATGTTCTGTACTCAGAGTGGTTTTCTTTGACTCACTTCGCCTCCACCCCGTCATCTCTAGCCTGCTTTATTGTCATCACGGCACCTAT